CCACGTTCGCCAGCGCATTCTGGCCGCGCTGCTCAACATGCTACACAAGACGAATCAAAACGCCATCATGCCGCAATGAAGTGCGGTTCTGTACGACAGATTCGGTACACTTGTGCAATACCGTCGGCCTGCACAGGGTACTCTCGCATGATGCAGTGGCAGAGAATTTCGAAGCCTCGGCTCTGAAAGCGTTACGGAGATGCAGTCGCCGGACCGTGGCGACTACGTGTTGTAAGTACAGTGGATGCGAATTTAGACCCCTTTTCACTCTGCAGAACCACGCGCCTGTCTAGGTCCGTCACTTGCATTCGGGATGCGCGCAGTTATCCAGAATCGCGACGGTCAGGCGTTGCTGAGTGGCGTGCTAGACCACTTGGTCCACTGCAGTCGCTGGATGATAGGGAATATCTGGCGCAGCTCCTGGAAGTAGAAAGCTACCAAAGCCATCACTGGTGACTTGCTTTTGATATCTTTGATCAGAAACCAGCTGCAGACCAGCCGTATAGCCGCCCCTGATTGTCCTCCTTCCGCAGCTCAGCAACAACTCCCAACCTGGATACGAGGACTCTCTGTTGCTGCTCGGATCGCTTTGCAACACTCGTGGTGATTGGATGTGGCACAGGAAGGATGCGTGCTGTAGCCATCACGGATCTCGGCGTCTTAGGTGCCGGCTGCCCTCTCTGCCGTGCCATGTTGTCGATCTTTAACGTGACATTGTCGACCGCCCTGGCAGTGGCCCACTGCACTCACACGAGATTGCATGTGCCAAGTCCAGGAGTTGCCAAGCGCACCTGGATGCGAACACGCCCCTGGTGAGCCCTAGTTGATCATGTCTGTGCAAGTATGCCCAACTCTCAATGCAAGTATGCCAACCTCTCAAATCTTGTGAGCCTGTCCCAGTTGTTGACTTGGTTGGCAAGCTCGTATCTTCGCACCTCAATCAGAACAATAGATCACTAGAATCACCAGAACGCTCGAAGGGCAACAGGCTGTGGTGTCACACGCAAACGAACAAGGATTCTTGATGCTCCCGAGCTGAGGTGACTGCGAATTCTCGGACGCCAGGAAAATGTCTAGCAGTCATCCAGCCTCAGGCTTTTGCCCGGCGATAGCAACCCTGAGCCCACACTCCGGCACAAAGTATAGGACACTGCGAGAAAGCAAGCATGAGCACCTTCTCACTGATTTCAGTGTTCTAGCTGTGCCGTGGTAAGAAACAACCTGAGGTTGCGGCGTTCATCGTGTGCTTTCTTCTGGCTTGCCATCTGCCTTACGGGTGAAATGGGATGAGCTGGGCACAGCACATGCACGCACACACACCCACAAACAAAAACAAACAAACAAATCGTTTGCAACATCTCTGCAGCCCAGTCGTGCTGACTGTTAATTAACGTGGGCATAGCGGCAAACTCAACTCTTTGAGTACCCATTATTCACAACAGCAATACAAGCGGATTCGGTCTCGTCTCCGACAAAGGATAACATGACGTATCATGACGCGCAGCCACCCCAGACAGTTAAGTGCTGATAACTGTTCAATTTGCGGGGTCGGGGTCGACACGAAAACGGATATAAAGCTGGCAACAACGCACAAGCACAACTCTGAACTCCGAAACGGCCGAACACGAAATCCTAAATTAGCATGACAAATGATAAATGAATCCGGAAATGAAACCAAGATGACGGACATGACCAAAAAATGCACATGATGTCTGAGGCTCCGAGATCTGAATACAATGCGGCACGCTTGACGGCCTTCTTTTTCATTCTTCCAGCATACGAATAGGCTGGGTTTAAACCGCTTTGCATCCGCCTGTGCGGAATGACAGAGCAAGTAGATCAAAGATCCTGGTAGGGGTCGGAGGCACCCGACTTGTCAAGGTACCGCATTCCCACTATTTCAAAACTCTCGGGACACAAATTTGCAGAAATGATGGAATCACGATATGCCGCAGCAGGGTGCACAAACTCCTGCAAAGCCAACCTGGTTGCAAGGTCCACTGGTCCTGCAACCCTAATTTGCTGAGGCCGTCAGCAGGATTGGAATCCGAATCGATCCCTTCAAGCCAACACTTGGGTTGTGTGTCACAATGCTGAATCGCTGCTCAGTGAGCAGTCTCATGGACATCTCATGACATCCCCTTTCGAACTGCAGCCTTTGACCACCACAGTGACCGAAGCTTGATTGTCGATGAACCAAAGCATGTCGGCCTGCGCAAAGTCTTCAGGCTGCCGCATGGAGGTGACCAAGACCACCAAGGTTTCACCCCCCGCGAAGATTTGCTGTTTTCCAAGACTGCAGCACTTGCTGAAGAACCAAACAAGTGCCATTTTTCGGTGGAGTCCTATCCGGTAGAAAGACTACCCAGTCCAGTCGAAGCTCACCAGCCTCAACGGGACACCCGAGTGACTCGCCTAGCACATGTAGCAATGCAGAAACTGCGCGGCAGGACCCTAAGGACGATGGCCAGGCGACTGCAACACCACCGCATCGTCCGCTGTGAGGGTCTCCGAACCCTGCACGCTTAGCACCATGGCCCGAACTCGAAGACAACAACCAGATCAGGTCACCACGGAGTCGCCCGGCCATATCACGAGGAAGCCTACCGGACTTCTGGAGGCGGGAGCAAACTTTGACCACGGTGGCAAACTCCGGCTGGACCAGTATCTGGCCCAAATGCGCAAGAAGTTGCCCTCATGCACTGATGTGCCCGGGTAATGACGATCTGCAGCTGGGGGAAAGCTTTTCGAACTAGTTGCAATCCAAGCTGTGACACCCCAGAACCACCATGGAGCTCCACCGACAACTCATCGTCAAAGTAAGCTGCTGCCCCATAATGGACAAACAGCAGCGTGCCACCGCCACTGCCAGCAACGGGAACCGATTGAAGTTGACCACGGCCGATTCTAGACCGAAGGCCAACCTCCACAGAATGGCCACGAAGACGGCCACAATGGAGAAACACAAACAATCCTCGCGAACAGGGAATCAAGATGGTAAGACTCGCGAGTGAACGGCAACATCCCTGGGACCTGGCCTTTCATGACAGTCACAGGGTCAGGCAAAATCTGAAAGCCCGCAGGCGCACCACCTCGAGGTAGGCAAAAAGTGCTGCAACCCGTTATAAGTCGCCGCACACGCCATGCTAGGCACCACACCACAGCGCTGCAAGGAACCCCAGGAATTCGAGGAACACCTTGGCGCTCCTGTTTTGCTACAGCAAGCCCGTCGCTTCAGTCATTTGCCAAAGGTTCGAGGCTTGCAATTCCAGGGCTGGCCACAAGAATCGACTGCCAGGCAACAGAATGTTCGTGTAGAAGTGTCGGAGGTGACTCAACAAGTCGAATCCGCAAGCGCGAAGGCCCGGCGATGCCCACCTACAATAGGTCTAACACCTTGAGAACGACTCTTGCCCTTGGAACACTCGAACTCAAGCCACGTGGTATGATCTGCAATAAGCTTCGATCTTGGAAAGTGTGTGAAACGCCTGCACGAGCAGGCGAGCTGAAGAATAAAGCTGAACACCCACTGGGAAGCCCTTGTCAAAGACTCTGCCCAAAGTATCAGACTGACGAACTCCCAAGGTTTCATGTTCAGGGGCTGCATCATAAGTGCGGCAGCGGAAAGAAACCTCCAAGAGTCACATTTGTCCACGAAAGCGCCTGGAAGACGGACGATGCCGCCGCGACCCCGCAAGGCTCAGCTCCTGAAGCGAGCACGGTAATTAGCGCCTCGGTGGCACTCCACGATCAGCAGCCCAACGTGCCCAACGACGCCAAGTAGCCGCCAACATGCCCAGCCCCTGCGTAGACAATGTAAAGGGGGCCCGGTGGCCGCTTCCACAGCTGCCAGGACATTTCAATGCAGCCCTTCAAAGCCCAACTCACGAAGATCCAAGAAGGGATCCACACATATACACACACACCCGAAAAAAGGGAATCATCTTCTGGAGCTTGTTGTTTGCAGGTTGTAAGACGGCCGTAGACGATGCAGCTGCCACCGACGGAGGCACCGATGGCAGCTCGCCAAATCTCGCAGACTGAGCAGTCTCTTTGCGTGCAAGCCGCCCAGCTACCGTCCAGAGCCTCGCAACAGCAAACAAATCTGGTTCACCCGCTTTAGCGGCAGCGCACTGCTCATACTCCTGGCAAAAGTCATCCTCGCTGGTCCATCCAAAACGGATGTCGCTGCAGTGCTCAATGCCTTCTGCAAGTAACCAGCTCCTCACACTCTCTTCAATCTTATTCAAAAAGAAGGGCGAGTTCAGCATCTAACATCTTAACACGAGGCATCTCGAGACACATCGCTGCGGCTCTGACCATGCGAACACACGACATTCGGACACGAACAACTATGAGTCCGGAATGAAGCCGATATCACGAAAATAAACGACTATGAATCCGTCAACAAGCGACACGAAATCCTGATGTGAACAATTATGAGCCCGCGAATGACCGACACGCGATCAGGATATGAACCCGTAATATGACCGATACTTCAATGCGAATCCGAAAACATGACGAAACTCAGCAAGAACTAATCCGGAAATGACCGACACTCCAGATCTGGAAACGACCAAGTACAGACGAGGAATCGCGCACGAGAGTCCCGTCAAAAGACGTGAACCCAGAAGTTACCCGAGGAAATCCAAGAAATGCAGGCGAACGAATCCAGCCATCAAGAAATTTGCGCCCAGAAAGCAACCGCCGAAATTCCGAGAACAGCCCATGGAGGCAGAAATCAACAAATCTGAAATTGAAAGCCTAAATGTCCCAAGCATATTCCGTACCTCTTGAGGCTTATCCACTCTGCATCTCGCTTGTCCGCGCCCCACCTCGGTCAAGTCAAGATTTCATGCAGGTTGAAGGTTGGAATGCACGAGGAGCGCGAAACGCGAAAGTAAATGGGTCCGACTGCTTCGACATACTCATGCTCTGAACAACACGACATCCCGAAGCGCTGCATTGTTCGCTTCTGTTCGCTGTTGCAGGGCCCGCACTTCTGTGGCTCCGAGCCTTCTGCGGCTTCTTCCTGCAGGTGTGCAGACGTTCCGATGCATTGCTTTGCTCCGCATGAATCCCAATCCAGACATCAGGGTTCGCTTGGGTGAGTCAGCGAGTCACAACATGGCAGGTCACAAGGGCCTCGTCTACAGCACTGCGTTTGCTGAAAGTGGTCCTGGGGATTCTCGGCATTCTCAGCGCCCGGGGGCACAGCAAGAAGGTCGTTGGCATCCACCTGTTCGCCAATGCAGCTGATAGTTGTCAAGTCTGCTTTTCATAGTTCTTGTGGCCGACTGTTGCCCGGTTGCGCAACATGCCCCTACACAAGCAGCATCTAATGCTCTAATGCTGTACTACAAACGACAACGAGTGAGCATTACTGCCTCATCAAGCGCCAGTCCCAAGGAAGACTCTTCCGACGACTGGCTGAACTCGTCCTCCTCATGGCGAAACTCCTCCTGTTCAAGGTGCAAAACAGCAGCTTCGTTCTGAAAATCGAGCGGAGTATCTGAGTTGCAGAGCTGGAGGCCTTGAGTCGGAGCCCTTTGGCACAGACGATCAGAGACAATTTGCGTGGTGCACACACCGTAGAAGCTCCATGTTTATGCGATGCGAAAAGCATGCATTTTGCATGCGAGACACACAGAGACACAAAGTACAATCCCGTGTCAAGACATGCTGTAGTCATGAATGCCTACCAAACTCTTCTCAGTCCCGGTCCTGTCAAGGTCAGAACCCAATGCAAAGGCTGGGCTGCAAGAACAAACGCAGCTACAACACCGGTATCAGTTCAGCTGTGAGAGGATACTCACTACGAAATGCTCCCTGGCACCTGCGTCGAGCCCGGAAGCGCCAGCATCCGGCCAGAAGGAGACGGTGCGGGAAGCTCCTGCGGCAGCACAACTGTTTTTTTTCTCAAACCTTTGCATACCGCGTTGTCCCGCGCTGAGGACTCGCCCTGTGGCCGTGTGGAGTCGCGGTTGCAAGGGTCAAAGTGTTTTGCCAGCACATTGACATGACTCCTGAACTGAAGCATGACACGATTTCTTAGTCGAGACGAGACTAGACTCTGCCTCCAAACGCTGCTGGAAAGCCGCAGCATTCTCGGTGGGCCTCGGGAAGCTCATGCTCACATGGGTTCACCGAAACTTGCTGGCGGAAGGTGAAGAAGCCGATTGGCTGGAGAGAGACAGCGTTGCCTTGGAAGTCCTGTGTGTCTTTGCTTGCACCTAGGAGCAGGCCCACCTCGTGGGTGTGGCCCCATGTGCGATTGTAAACATGGTGCTGGGATGTCCATGCGCGTGCGCTACAACTACAAATCCGAACCAGCACAAGGCCGGCAGTAGATCGCGTCGCTGCGCGATGCGCAAAACTGCAGCCCCCCTGCACATGCCAAAAGGTCGTGAGCAGCCGGGATCTGTCGGGCATGAGACCGGCTGATCAGGAGGATACAGGGAGGGAATGACGAAGCGTAGAGGCAGATCATGGAACGATGGACAGTTGAAGCCTGTCCCAGGCAGTTTTTCTGCAAAACACAAGACTGTAATTCTGCAAGCTGCAGCCTGGCATGGTGGCCACAAACTCAGTTGTGGTCCATTCCCACTGAGTCCGGCCATCGAAGAGGCTGAGGTAGTAGACCTCGCAAGATTAGACAGGACGAAAACTGTCAAAGTTCTTACGAACAGCTCTGACACGGCTGCTGTGTCCTCAAGAAGCCTTTCGGAATTGTCGGGATGTCTCGAACTGCCAACGCACGTTCGTGCACTGCGCAACGAACATGTGCCGCTTTGTTCACAGCCGATGTTGGCCACGCGGGTCCGACATTAATGATTCATTGCCGCACATTGCTATTTTGCGCTGCGCATCCTTTGAGAGCATCTGCAGACCTGCAAAATCCCGCAAACCTCCCTCAACCTGTTTGCTGGTGCGTACCCTCTCCGAAGGCCTTGCCCTCCCTCGAGAAGCGCTCTTCCCAGTGTGGTGGCAGCTTGGGCACCTGGTCCATTCCGTCACATTGAGCTTGAGTGGAGCTGTCCAAATCTGACGGCAGGGAACACGCCTCCCATTGCGTGATGTTGGATCGAAGGTTGACGTAGAACTCGCGACCATCAGGCCTGAGCTGAAGTCCAGTGAAGTGGTGACGGTGCTGGTTGCATCGACATCTTGGCAAAATGCTGGAACTCAGTGGCAGACGTGGTCTGCAGCTCCCAGCCGGAAGGAAGCATTACTTCCTGAAGATGCACTCACGTCGGCAGCCCTGTCAATTTTGCAGAAGCATACGTAGCCTTTATTGGGCCCGACCTTTTCATCCCTTCAAGACTCCACGGGCTGGGAGCACGTCCAGCCCTTTGCCTGTCCTGGCTGTTCCGCGCCGCTTCCAAAGATGCCTCTACAGCAGCTCGGACTTCGGCCTCGGACCTGGGGCAGGCGCAGGCGGCGCAGTGCTTGAAGCTTGCTTTCATAGTTTGGATACTGGGCCGGTTCGAGATAGTGCGGACCACCTGTTTCGGGAAGGCATAGGGTCTCAAGCAGCAGCTCCACCAACCGGCAGCAGCACCAACACTGTGTGTTCAGGTTATGTCACACTGGCAATGAGTCCGACGGCACTTGGCAGCTTGGCCGAGAGATGAGCAAAAAACATTCAACATTCCTTACCTTCTTCCGCCGGGTCTGAGGGGCGGGTCAGGCCCCTCGATGCCCCTCGGCCCATAGGGCCCCCCAAGGTTTTCGTTGGGGCTTTCGGGGGGAAACAGTACACGTACAAGGAGAGACTCCCTGTACCAAACAGCGATTCCACGTGTTTACCTCTCTCCGTCTCTTTCCTCCCGGAGTATATTTAGGATGTTGGTGGCAATACACACAAGCAGGTTTACGGTTGTTTCTCAGTCACACATAACTGTCGCAACAACCCCCTGCATACTCGTTCGAAGTGCCGAAGTTGCAGGTGCTCTGTGTTGCGTCAAGATCACAACAAGTAGCAGCGTGTTCGTTGGGCAGGCGCTGCCAAGGTGCCCCCGGGTCGAACCCACACACTCTGCTTGTAACTACACCAACACACTTCACAGGATCTTAGGAACAGAGGATCCACAAACCAACGGAGCCTCCACAAGCAGGAAAACAAGCAACAAAAACAAAACGAACGAGCAAGCAACTGAGGAACACAGAAACCAAACTGAAGCAAAACACACAAACAAGCAAATGCATACACAAAGGGGCATGCACAAAACACATTTGCAGGTACGAAGAACAGGAACACCCCCACGGTTATGCAGATCGGGACGGCGACAGTGCAGCAGATCGTGACCCCCACTCTTCGTGGAAAGCTCAACGCAACACATGAGATGCCCAAAGCAATGGACGAGCCCATGGATTCGTGACTGCAAGTAAATGCACGCCCTTGCAAGCTTTAGCTTGCAGTACTGATTTCAATCATCAAAACGTAAAGCAAAAGAATCACCCGCTTGCTGAATCCATGAAAAGTGACGCCTGGTTTAATTTAAGGGACTGGTGCTAATGGTTGAACCAAAACACCGAGCTTTCAGGGTCTTGTGTGGTTCTTGCGGTTTAGTGCTCATTTCCGCTCTTGTTTCGTGCATTCTTTCCAAAAAAGAGCCAACTCCAAGTATTAAACGCAAGGACACACATCACACTAGTAAGCCAACCGCCTACCTCCCGGTGAACAACAGGAAACGAAGGAAGCCAGGACGCAATCTATCTGCTCCATCTCCAGGTGTTAGGATACGGATAAGGCAATACTATGAAAGGAATGCATGTGTGCTTTCAACTGAAGATTTAACAAAAGATGCAATTAATCACGTGTTTTATTTTGATCCGTCCAACATAACATCCATAAGCTGCATATGAAGGAGGCCGAGGCCGTTGCTCGCCGTAGTCCTCTTCTTTGGAGCCGCCTCCGGGGATGCCAGCCTCGTGCAGCTGCCAAACTATCCGTACACGTCGTCCCCTCTCTTCTTCCTTCAGGTTAAGGGAGCGTTCAAAGCTCCCCGGCCCATAGGGCCCCCCTTGTTTCTGGGGCTT